TCGCAATTATCAACTTGAGACTTTCAGAAGCATCAAATGGAGATTTTCAAGTTTCAAATTGAGACTTAAAAATCTCTATTTGATCCTTTCGAAAGTCAACTTGATACTTCCCAAAGTCTCAATTGAAGATTATTGAAATCTCAAAACAAGGATTTTTTTTCTGAATCCATCGGAAATTTCAAGCTCTCCCCACCGCCTCATCTTCGCACTCCTAATTAAACCGATTGACAATCGATAGTCGACATCTGTACCAATCACCCGTGATTTACAATTCCACTTTATCACTCCGCCTCGAGTCAGGAAATTCTCTACAACCCCCCTCACCAGAATAAACCAACACAAAACGATTGTAGAAATTGCACGATCTCCGAGGTCACCTGCCAAGCGATTCGACCTCCCTGTACCTTCTGAATCGTGCCTCACGGGCATCTATTCTTTTTTTTCCCGCGCTTCATCAATTCTCAACGCATTTTTTTTTCTCCCCTATTTTCGTGTCGATCGGTCTCTCTACCAGAAACGTATGGTCGCGTGCGTGCACCCACGAGTGAGTGAATTCTACATCTCAACTATTTTTATGTTTTACACTCGTTCCACCTTCTCACTAGTTTTTTCGTTGTGCACTGGGCAATTATGCGAATCGCCTCGTCTCTGGTGAATCGCCAACAATAATTAACGTTTTACGCGCCATTGGCATTGGACGTGGGTAACGAGGATGACGTCAGTGGGTGCACGTTATCCCGATCTCCTCGGGATCCTTTGTGAGACTTTTATTTTCAATGAGTTCTTTTTGTTGTTGTTGTTTTTTTTATCCTCTCGTGTTTTTTTTGCGTTGAAGCCCCAGGCGATCCTGATGACACGCTTAGCCAGTGAATATAGTGGATATAACAGACCAGCTAATTACAAAATCTCTCATGAGAAACTGTCTCTAGCATTTCATGTTGTTTTTTTTCATTCATTTTTTCGCTGATGTATAATTCACGTGTAAATTCATTCTTAATTTAATACTCTGCCACTGGCTGTGGCTAACGTTTATAGTCATCCAAATGTCGTTCTTGAAGGCTACTTGTTTATCCTGGTGCATTATCGCGAGTTACTGCGTCGTATTTTATGTACAACTATGCCTTGTGTTGAGGTATAAGCACGTGGTGTCTCATTTACATGGTGGCTGCTTTTAAAAATGTATTTTTAATCATTGGGGAAGATTCTTGTAACACGATTTCTCATTATGTGGAGTTGGATAAGTAAAGGGATCAAGGTGTCAGCAGGTTTACTAATTGAATTTATTTTTATCAGTGGTAATATCAGTAGAAATATGTCGTCGTCGGAGAGCCAAAGGGGCGTAACTGCTTTGTTTGTACATATCACTTGCGCTCCTTTAGATGTACGGCGACGATTCAGCCGAGTGGAAATTTTGATCAGGTTGGCTGATCAGAAGTAAGACAGAAATCCGATACTGGTCCGCCTTTTCTGATCAGGCGTTTCCGATAAGTATTCAGCCAGTTACTGACGAAACTATCTGGATCCGTCGGGACTTTCTTGATCGCATTCTGATCAGTCGAACAGTTCGGATCCGCACTTTCGGAGCAGATGTGGCTCCTCAACAGCGTTACAAGGTCTTGTCAAAAACTGACCTTGTTCAGTTTTTACGGATCAGTTTCGGACTCCAGCCTGATTTGAATTTCGACTCGGGCAGTTGGTGGTTTTAGTTCACTTTGGTAAGATTGCATAGATTTCGCACAAATTCAGAGATCATTTTGATTCTTCATAACAATGTTACTTCAGTATTTGACACGTGCTTCGCGTTCATAATTTTTATGCTGCAAAACTCATCCCGATCGCTGATACGCAGGGAAACTTGAGGGAAATATCCGATGAATTTTGGGGTATTCGGAGGATAATTTCCTTCGTCCTGCGGGTTCGACCAATCAAAGTGCAGTGATTGAGGTCACGTGGCACGAACACGAACATCTCACAGAAATAAAAAGAAATGGTTAATCCTGTTATCATTTTCTCGTAAAGAATTCCACGTACAAAAAAAATTCAATAGAAAAACTTAGTTACTTCTCTAGAAATTCTATTGGGATTCTATTAAAATGCTAGGGAATTCTCGTTAACATTCTATTTGTTTTTGCGTTGATTCTTTGAGATATTTGATAGGAAAAAGTCAATAGATTTCGATTTTTCAATGTGAATATTCTCTTGGAATTTTCTCCATAAGAATACTTGGGCATGAATTGCCATAGTTTTTTTCACTCGGGTCCTGTAATGCAAAACAAAACAAAATATAGCGAAAAAAAATTGGAAAATCCGTGCCCAATAATTTTAATAGAAAAAATTTCAAGTGAAAAAATCAAACAGAAATCCGAAGCTATTGACTTTTCTCTATCAAATATCTAATAGAATCTGCGCAAAAGACAAATAGAATTTTAATGAGAATTCTCTAGAATTTTAATAGAATCCCCATAGAATTTTTAGAGAATTCCAACAGAATTTTCTAGTGAATTTGCTCAGGTTTTCTGTTGAGTTTTTTCGCACGTGTCTGGCCAAATCGACTCATTTTCAATGACTCTTTATTTTGAATCAAATCAACATAACTTTACACAAGCTTTTTTCATAAATTGAAATGTGCCCAGTGGCTTGGCGCAGTGGGTAAGTTCGTTGCCTCACATGCGAAAGGTTCCGAGTTCAAATCCCGGCCGGGTAGAATGGTGCGATCTAACCATTTAAAGTCGTGCTCATCATCGTATTATACCCTAACCGGATCGAAACGATGTAAAATAACGATAAAAAAAAAAATTTTAATGTCAAAATCAGAGAGCACAATTCACTAGTAGTTTGATGAATTATCAAAATAAAACCGACGTCAAGGTGTCACGTAACCTCGAATATGGCGCTTCGATTGGGCGAAACGAAAAGAGAGAAAATTGTCGATATTATTCTCTTCGAGTACCGCAATTCTATTGGTCGAAAGGGTGATGGGGAAAATAATCAACAGAATTCTACGATAAAAACTTGAAATTCAGAGTGTCCATAAATTTTTAGATATGTAATTGAATATTCACGCTCCATTCTTCAGGAAAACACAAGTCTTTTCGCGAAATTGTGGAATTTTAATTAAACAAAAAACTGGTTGCATACTCTCAGAAGAAAATTCCTAAAAATTCAATGAAAAAAAAACCTCAAAGTGTAAAGAATTGTTATTATTAAATTAAGAACTGTTTAGTTCTTCAATTGACAACTTCTGTATTTTCAAACTGAGAATATTAGAAAGACATAGACTTTTGGAACAATTGAACGTCAACCCAACGTCAATTTAGTCGAGGTATCACTTTTCGAGGTCATATACTTTCTGTAACAAAGGATTTATAAACATGGGTAGATTGATTTTGGAACAGGAAAGATTTATTTCAGAACTGAGATGTTCTTGATTCAAGGAGCCCACGGTCTTTATTTCAAGAATCCAGAAGTTCTGAATTCCCGAATCCGGACTGAAAATAAGAGAAAGTACGTCTGAATTCTAGTAGTTATACTACATAACTAAAAATTAGTGAGAGTAACATGTTCCTCTGATTTTTAAGGAAAATTTTCTTGAAATATGTAAAAATTTTTTGGTCGCTGGATTTCAGTACGACAAACCCGTCCCGTCATATCATAAAATTACAGAGAAATTTCATATTCCATTCCATATTTAACGGTTATGAATTCATATTTAATACTTGGGCATGAAAAATATTGTTTTTATGTTAGTTATTGCCAATCAGAGCGTGGAAATTCACACAGTTGGCTTGAATTTCAAAGTTTCTTCATCAAGAAATGGAGGCAAGAGTTTTGAACAGTATGTAATAATTGAGGAGAAATAACATCAAAAGATCCTTTTTCATGAGCCATCAAATATTCCACTAAAAAATTCCTTTAACATTTTTCTACGAACCCAGTACTTCTCAGGAGATGCCACCTTTGGGTATTTTCCAGACTTGTTTCACATTACCTTGTCACCAGCGATTTATGATGAAATATAAATGCAAGGTGATTTCAGCATCTCGCTTACAAATTTCAGGAGGATATGGAAGAGAAAATCAGGAATTCAATAGCACAAAAATTATTAAAGCCCGATAATAAAATTTCAACTCGCGAATGTTAGAATTTTTCAATTATTCAACCAATCACGTGGTGATTGACTGCCGCCATGACTGGAAACGGTGATGATAATGTTGCTCCAACTATGGCGCATAATGTTGCTAAAATCGCAGCAAATATCGTTATAATAGAGAGCTTGTATGAATTTTTTTCAATTTTTTTATCTTAACTTTCGACCTTAAATGATTAATTTTTCGTTTATGAACTCTACAAATATTACTCGGTAATTAGTAATTGATTGTCAAAAGTTGAGCCTTTCAAACGCTTTGAAATGATTAATGACGTCTTAAGAGTGGTCGAACGCTTGGCCAATCACAAAATGACTCGAGTCAACCTAACCCAATCTTCACGTGCGCCTTATCCAATGGATGACGACAACCCCCCTCTTTCCTCACATTCGACCAACGCACTGTTAACCAACATCACCAACATCGAAATAGTAGATTTTAAAAACGTCTGATTTTTAATCAATTATCATAAAATAACTCCATAATTCTTTTAGTTTAGCTTTATCACAACATTGCCATTTTCAATCATGACGACATTTCGGTGGCCTACCATGACGTTATTGGCTAAACCATTGAAAAATTCTAACGCTCACTTCTCAGAAATCGAGTATCGTAAATTCATAATTCTTGTACCATTGAATTTCTGATTCTCTATTCTACATCTTACGATTTGCAAGCAAAGTGTAGACGTGACCCTGTATATTTGTCTGCAATCAAGGTCTAATGATACGTACGGATTAAAACTAACAATACTATCGGCTGCCTGAGTACGAGAATGTTGTATTAAAACATCGGCACTGAAGATCCCGTAGTAAATAACTTTTATGGGAACCTAGAAATTGATATTCTCCACAGATATTATCCTTGGCACTGGGCAATGCTGGTCCCACACGTTCACCAAAAGCAATTCAGCCATCAAACTCAGCACCAAACTCCCTGGATCCATACCCAACATCCGGAAGCACCTCGCAGCCGATAATAATCGATCTGCTGCAGTCGACGTCGAAAAAAGTAGTTCCCATTACCACTAGTAACCCAGTGACGTGGAAACCCACGGTCCTTGTCACTCCGTCTCATACGGGTCCTGGATACACTGTATCGGCGACACTACCACCTCTACCAACCTTGCCGACATCATCTGTGAAAATTGGTAATACAGTTGATTTAACGTCAACACAGATTCCCTGGATGTTCCCTACGCATCCACCTACGACGAAGACAACTAGTACAACCACAACTACAACAACAACTACTACTACACCTCCCCCAACAACGACAACAACCACAACAACAACGACACCTCGTCCCGCAACAACAACTACAACTACTCAAAGAATCAACACAACACGAAGGCCATCACCTAGACCACCGCCAAGACCATCACCAACGCAGCCTCCATTCAGATTCGGAGCAAACCTCCTTCAAGCGATCTTCGGAAGGAATATCTTCGCTCCTTTGAGCACTCAGAGACCTGCGATCGTCAGAAGACCTCAGACGACAGTTCAGATCACTCCGAAATCAACGACAACTTCGACGACTTCGACAACTGCGAGAAGTACAACAACATCTCGTGTGCCATCTACTACATTTTCACCTGAAGATGATGCCAAGTTCTTACTACAGCTACTCAATGCTGCAAACAACGAAAACAAACCTACGACGTCAGCTGGTGCGTTGTCGAAGGACGACGAGAGCTTCTTGAGGTCGATTTTGAATGGTCAGGCGACGGTGAAAACGCCAAGTCCTGGGTCCAGTCCGCCAAGTGAGGCTGCCTTATTAGCGAAATTGCTGGAATCTCAGGGGATTAGACCTGCTACGCCTGTTAATAATATCAGGGATCAGTTGGCTTTTGTGGTAAGTTTTGAGTTTTTTCTTTTATTTATTCAATTTTTTGATACGACTGTTCTGTTCTTGTATACGGAGAAAAAGGTTGGGGAAAAATTGCGGAAGAAGTTAAGTAATCGTGGAGCAAACTCAATTTTCAATACTTTTTCACTCTACACTGAGAGAAAAATATCAGAGTTCTCAAACAAGTCTTACTTACGTTAAAAGAAGAGCGTCATTAAAAATTATCAAAAAAGGATTTTTTTTAATGCCAAACATAAGAACCGTGCGCCGAAACTGAATTTTTTATTGCAAAAAAATTGATTTAGACCTTTCAAAATAGTATATTCCGTTACGAGTGCGGAAAAGTGTTTTTTAGCTCGTGGGAGCCCCTCACGAGCCAAAAAACACTTTTCCCACGAGTATCGAACGATATTTTTCATCACAATATGCGGAAAAGGGACGTTTTAGGCACGCGAGGCGTGCCTAAAAAGTTACTTTTTCGCACAGCGTGATGAAAAAACAGTTAGTCTCTGTTCAAGCAAGAAATTTAATTTCTAGCACTACTTCTTCGTTATTCGATGCTCTCATACGTATTTTGTTCCCGACAAATGTTCGTTTTATATGAAGCGAGGGATTAGTTTATCGTTTCGGCTATTCAATAATCACAGACAAAAAATGAGTTCTTAAATGAAATAATAATAATGATAGTCTGTCAAGCAATCTTGTAACTTAGGGACAAAATATCTCTTTACATTATAAACATCCAGATCGACTTCTGGTGATGAAAATTTGGTACTCGAAATTAAGACTCCACAATTAATAGTCACAAGGATCAAAATAATAGTCACGAGGGTCAGAATAAGGGTCACAAGGGTCAGAACAAGGGCTACGTTAGAGTAAGGGTCACAAAGGTCAGAATAAGGATCACGAGGGTCAGAATCAGGGTCACAAGGGTTAGAATAAGGGTCATATGGGTCAGGTTAAAGGTCACGAGGGGTATAATGAGGTTCAGAATGAGGATCACGAGGGTCAGATTAAGGGTCTCAAGGGTCAGAATAAGGATGATGGGGATTGGCGAGTGGAACAAGCAGGGGGCGTAGCCCCCTAGTTTCTTGATAAACTTCCCTCTATAAAATATATTTTATGTCACTCATGCCTGAAACCGGCTGGATTACACACTCGACGCTTCGCGTCTCGTGTCTAATTCAGCCGGTTTCAGGCTTCGTGACATAAAATTTTGTTCAGTACTTGTGGGGAAATATACTATTTATCCTGAAAAGACACCGTCTTGTATGAATGATCCGCCTTTGGAGCCAAATAGTTCGTTGTTGTTGAAATCAGAGCAATTGTTCATCTTTCAGACTTTCAAATTCGAACCAAACAATTATTCTTTTGGTAATTTTCAACTAACAATTCGGTTGGCCCAAATAAGACTTGTTTGAAAACTTGTTCATTTTTCTCTCAGTGTATGTTTCAGTATGTTTCAGATATTAGATTTTTGTTGTCAGTATAGCTTTGTTGTAAACAAAAGTTTTACAAAAGCAGGTGAACAGATTGAAAGGGAAATTTAAAAAAATTTCCTGGAAAACTTGACACAATCGTTTGCTTGCAGGAAGCTTAAGGGAAATACTAGATAATTTTTGAGCTCGAGGGCTGTTTGTCGGATTATTCCTCGAGAATGTACCACGGCCAGGTAGAATGCAGTATTTGAAGTCACAATTTTTAGAACAAATGAAGAGCTATCGCTGCATATCCAACAACTAGTGTGCAATATTCGATATAAAACTTCATCCTGCTCCTCATGTGATACCAAATACTGTATTTTGATTGGGCGTGCACCGTTCTCGGGAAATAACCAGTAGTAATACCCCGAGAACTTGAAAATAATCGGGTATTTCCCGATAGCTTCGTTGCAAACAAATGAGAGTGTTAAGTTTTGTAGAAAAATCCCCCTCGCGAATGCTCGGGATTTTTAACCTGCAAAACTTATTTGTTTGCAGGCGAGCTTGAGGGAAATACCCAATTCATTTTGAAACTAGAGGCATCTTGGCCTATGGTGGGTGGCATTTAATATCAACGTTACAACCTATACTTCCGCAGTTCAAAATTAAGAATGTTAAAGTTGTAATTAATCTGGGAAAACGAAAGAAAATTACAGAAAAAAATGCTGAAAAAGTTGTACTCAATTCGGAAAAATCGTCCTTAAATCTACTCATTTTGACGTTTATGTCCGTCATTTCAATGGTTGATTCGCTATTGTCGTTTTCATGACATTTCATGTTTTTAATTTTATTTTGTTTATATTTTCATAGCAATATGCTGTGGTTTCACCAAATTTTACTGATTTCAAATCGTGCTGATTATACCACGCGACATTAAATGCCTCCCTCCCATCGGCCGAAATTCTGATTGGGGGAGTAATCACCAGAATGTTCTCAATTTTTCCTAATTTTCACTCTTAGGTAAAGTGTTCGTCCACAAGTAAAGTGATTCAACAGAACAAAAGATCGCTTCAGGGGAACATCAAATTTTTCGGCAGAACTAATTTTTTCTCTCAGCGTATCAACAAGAGAAATTAATAATAGTCTTACAATTCCAACACTTGTTAGGAACTCAATTCATATTTTTTAACAACAATTGAATCCACTTTTTCAATCATTGGTTGGTGAATTGCATTGAGAAAAAAAATATTTTTGCCAAATATTCATGTAATTGAGAAAAGCATTTTTTTTTCAAAATCGTATTTCTCTCATTGAATCATTTCTAGGCGAGTCTGATTAGCTTTCAATTATGACAATCATGTTGCTCTAGACGATGACTATGCTGCACATAACCTTGGATGAACTCCTCCAATGATTATTCATTTTTCCTAAATTTCTCATTTTCTAGAAAGAAGAATTTCGAATAAATTCTTCATGTTTATAATGATTGAGGATGTTCACTCGCTGTCATAACTAACATGATCATCTTTTAGAAAAATATATATATATTTTTTTTTTTTTAATGCTTATTTTATATCGCTTCGAGTCTGATGAGACTATATGGCGATTGATCAAGACTTTAAAAATGGTTAGATCTCACCATTCTCCCCGGCCAGGAATCGAACCTGGAACCTATCCGTTGTGAGGCAACGGCCTTAACCACTACGCCAGGCCACCGGTTTTTAGAAAAATATAATTGTCATAATTGAAACCTAACGAGAATTGCCTGGGAATGACTCGACTGGAGAAATATAGAGAAATATAGAAATATAGTATTGAAAAAATAAATACTTCTCTGAAGTAAATGGATATTTGGCAAAAATATATATTTTCTCAGTGTGAAGAAAACTAGTTGTTGAAGTTCGAAAAAGTAAATCAATCGCAATGAAAATTGATGAGTCGTTGCTATTTCTATTTTCAGGCGAAGGGGGGCTCGACGACGCACTCACCCAAGACGACCCCGAGAAGAATTACGACCAGCAGGCCAAGACCACCAGACTGGGCTCCAAGCTCTACTTATCCATCTCCACTTTTCAGTAATTTTAATTTCGGGGCGGACAGGCCAAGGGGACAGGGAGGGGCCGAGGGAGCCGAGGGGTTCAGGAATCAGATGCTGAACGCTGCCATCGGGGCTACGCGGGTTTTTAGTCAGTTCCTTGGTGCTGCAATTACGGTAAATGAAATGTTGGATATTTTTTGTTCCCATCGTGCAAAAGAGGTTTTTGCAGTTGAGAAAATTTCTTACAGAAATGTTTTTATACGATTTTGTTGATCCTCAGCTACCCATCTTATTACCAAGATGATTGCACGATTAATCAAATGAGTTATCTTGATTCAACTCATTTCAATATTCTTAAATTTGGTAATTATGAGGAGAATGTTGTATTTTATGAAAAAAATTCGATTACACAAAACATTATGTAGGACAGATTATCCTCTGCTTCGCGTATGTCATCCCTCTTCGACAATATTTGACCATTCTTTACCTAGGAAATTACATTTTTTACACCTCTGCATGGAAAGTTCATACTTTCCTCCCGCTCATCAAAGAGCAATATACGAAATTTCCTTTGCAGGCGTGTTAAAAAATCTCATGTGCATCTCAGGCGGAAAGTCTTGACTTTCCGCTCCTAATGCACAATCAGAGATAGGCATAATCATAAATTATCATTACCATTAATTTCATAAATACTCAATCAAGTAATAGAACTGAACAACTTTCTATTATTAAATTAATCAACAATTAAATATTTAAATTCCGAATGATTTTACCAATTAATAATCGAATTCGGAAGAATGACGATTATTTGATAATCTGTAATATTTTTTAGAAAATTTCCAATTATTTACCTAACCTTTACCTAACGTTTATTATTTAATAGTTATTGAAAAAATTGTAATTCTTAATTATTTACCATTTTCTAAGTTCCAATGATAAACGAATGAATTCGGTTATTTTCGGGAAATAATTCTCTTAATATTTCTGGAATAATGATTGATGCCGATCACTGTGCACAATATACTATTGAGTTACTTGTGCGTACAGTTCCACTTTTTTGCACGCACGTGTAACACATCCAATTTTTTATGATAAAATGGTTGCTTTTGTGCACGAATGCGTAAATTTCAGAAACGTGTGTAAAGTTAAATTCGAGTGCGTAAAGCGAAGCTGGTCCCAACGTTGGGACAATGTTGGCTATCAACGGTGGATCAATGATGGCTGTCAACGATGGGGCAATGTTGGCTACCAGCGTTGGGTCAATCTTGGCTACCAGCGTTGGGTCAATCTTGGCTACCAACCTTGGAGCAATGTTAGCTGCCAGCGTTGGGGCAATGTTGGCGACCAGTGTTGGGTCAATGTAATTCAATGAATCATTGAATTCAATTTAAAATACATCGACATAGAAATTTCATTCGGAATCAAATAACCAATTCATTAGCAAAAATATATTGACTATGTTGTGACGGAAGCAATTTCCCAGTTGTTCAATTTAAATGCGTCATTTCTCTGTGTGTTGATTGCATAATCATTTTTCGATGATTGATTTTTCTCTCCGTGCATAATCATCAAATACTGTATTTTTCATAAACCTAAATGTTAATTTTTCTTCTCATAGGGAGCAGCACAACAGTTACAATCGATAGTGAGAAATGGCACGCGAATAGTCTCCGAGGTCGTTGGCTAGTCGACGTAATCACAGGAAGGAAAAACGAATCAATCGAAAATACCATTTTCGTCATGTAATTAATTTCCATTCGATCGAACAGTTCGATAGTACTTCCCCGTGATCCTTGAATCATCCTGATATTATCTCAACTCAAAACATGATTTTTTTTTCGTATTTAATTCCTTGTAAATGATGCATCCTCCTGGAGACATTGGTTTTCTTCATTAATCCCGGAAGTGACGAATTGGCGTTAGCGAATTTTCCGATGAATTTGTGAGGATATTTGTATCCTCATGGTGATACAAATCAATTCTCCTCTTGTAATTATTCACACTGCAGAAAATAGCAATTTGTCATGGATTTAATTGCAGGGCTGGAGTGAGAGGTGAACAGCGCTTTGCAAACGTTTCTAGGGTAATTCAGTCATTCATTAATGATACAATAATTGCTCGAGTACTCGTGAAACATTTGCAACGTTATGATTAGTATAATTACTTGTGTTTTTCTTAAATCCATCGATTGTATGAATTTTTATCGATTTTTTACCTTCATTTTCTCCGGTGTAAACTCAGATATTAGTGAAACTTTTATGTTACGTAATTATTTCTTTTTGTTATTATTAATTATTTTATTTTATTTAGTGCAGTATATTGTACTCGCGGGGGTCTTTGATGAAGTAGTAATTACGCTTGTGTATATGTATTAATTAATCTATGGGAGTACGTTGTGTTTTGTAAAATAAAAGAATTTAAATAAATGGAGATAAAAGTGAATTGTCAAATTTCCCATGTACATAAAAATTGTCCAGAGGAGAAAAAAAATCCGCCCTCAGCTGTCAACGACTGCGTGGGATAATTTTTTTTTCACGACACAGTTGTGTCTTGCGAGGCACACACTTGTTCCACTGATTCTTTCTCTTCGTTTATTTTTTTCCCGACTTTTTTCGGTGATGGTTTTTTTACGTGTCTTCTTTTGGGGAATTAATCACCAACTGCGACAAGTATAACGACCATTAGAGGAATTAGAGAGTGTTTGAAAGTGTGTTTAGGTACAAAGAGAAGGAATTAATCACTTCATAAAAAAAGAGTCGCACAGAATGTAATTATTTCTCTTAATAAGGATTTTTGTTTGTTTAAAAAAATGATTTTTCAAATTCATTTGTTTAATCTCTCTCATTAATCCCCCAAAATCACGATTTTTTGCTACATTCTAGAGAATTGAACACAGAGATAATCATATTATTCATATCCTGTTGCCCGCAAAGGATTTTAAACTACGAATCACGAAGAAATATAAGAATTTTGTCTTCGTTTAGGGAATGAATCACTAACTGCAGCAAGAATAACGATCATTACAGGAATTAGGGAATTTTTGAGAGTGTGTTTAAGTACAAAGAGAAAAAATTAGTGACTTCATAAAAAAGGTGTCAGAGAATGCAACTATTTTTCTTAATAAAGATTTTGTTCGTTTAAAAATGAGTTTTCAAATTTATTTGTTTAATCTCCCCTTTCAATACATTTAATCCCCCAGAATGACAATTGTTTGCTTTATTTTACAGAATTGAATACAGAGATAATCACATTTCATTCATATCCTGTTTCCCACAAAGGGTTTTAAACCGCAAAAGAATAAAGAAATCCAAGAATTTCCTTATAATTCGGTGTCATCCATGAAAGCTCACTCGAAGGTCAGTCCTTCGCGTTCCGTTGGCATGTCCTGATATCGAGAATGGAAGGCAAAACAAGAGTACAGAGAGGCCAATAAGAGAATTTTAAACAGAGAACAAACATCACTTGATAAAAATAATATTAAAGTGGAAATAAAGTTTAAAAAGAAGAGGAATAATGCTATTTAAATCGCAGTGGCCCGGTGGCAAAGGCGAAATCGATAAATAACAAAAACCACTGACAATGGCGAATCGGTGAAATGCCATTCGTGCGATGGTGGTAATTTAAATAAATTAACGCGGGCCCTCTTAGCTGATTCTTCCTCCCTCCCTCCTTTCCCCCCTCTTCCTCGCCCCCTCCCCTGCTCTTCTTCAGCTCGAGGGTGTCCGAAGGAGTCACCAGAGAAATTGTCGGTGGAACACCCACGCGTACCTGAAAATATTTTTTTTATGCAGATAATTACGGCTAATGGCAGTCGTCGAATGCACCGAACACTCGTGTATTCCTCCATTGTAAAGGCGAGGCTCACCAAGAACAGGAGAAAAACTTGAGCTTTGACTCCCCATATACCTGAATGTAAGGCAAAAAATATATGGACGGTGGTGAGAGGGGGAGCGGGGGCGTCGATATTTAATTTATCGGCTGAATCCTTAAGCAGATACCATTATCTTGTGGTGTGCCTTGCGCTTTGGCTCGAGACCTGGCGAGACTCCTCGAGATAGGATCGAGGGAATCGGCTGTGGTATCGACCGGCAGAATTGAGACGTTCTCAGTTGTATTGGTAGAATGGTAAATGCATGGTGGGGTAAATCACACCGTCAAATGCAGAAATGTCTGTGGAATTTCCCGGGTTTGACTGAGAAAATGTTGTTGGAATTGTTCCGGTTTCTTTCTGATTTGAATAGTGTGTAATATGGTATCGAGTATTCCTGGCTAGAGATGTGCAATGACCATCATTTTCTCTTTTGGTTCGGTCAGACGAAAATGACGGAGGGTAGGGCAAAACGGACCCCTGAGAGAAAATTGATAACTGACCCATTCGGACGCAAAAGCAAAAATTCAAAGTCATTTGTGGTTTGAGGTGATTAGAAAATCTGATCAAATTGCGGTGCAACGACACTTCTTGTCTATAAAACCTCTATGACGGTTACGATCCAAGAAACTCACTTTTAATTCAACACATTCAGTGTTCCTGATTTGAAAGAAAGAAAAAAAAACAAAAATTACCAATTTCCTGTCAGTGGTCTGTTTTGCCCTAGGGGTCCGTTTTGCCCTCCCCTCCCCTATGCAAATTGACACAAAGCTGCGTTAGACATGAACCGAAATGACCAAAAATCGGCTACATAGTTGCAAATTGACCGTCATTTTTAGGTAATTTTTCAAGTGTTCGTTCGGAAAAATTTTCAATCGAATTGAATTATTATCATTTTGTAGTTTATTCATTAATTATTATCAATGGGCCCGTTCTCAATGATACACTGATAGAAAAAAATGAAATTTCGTGGACAGTTGACGAGTAATTTTCAGGACAGTGCCACTGAATGCAATTTAAGGGGAAAGAACGTCCTGAAATTTCTGATTTCACTGAAAATTCAATAAAATAACAAAATTTTGAGAAACACAAAGACGAGAATTCTTCAACTTATTTGAATTTTCAATGGAAACATGAATATTCAGTGCCAAAATACCCTGAATATTCAAATAGGGGAGGGAAGGGCGAAACGGACCACTGACAGAAATTTGGTAATTTTTGTTTTTTTTTTTTCCTTCCTTCAAATCAGGAACACTGAACGTGTTCAATTAAAAGTGAGTTTTTTGGATCGTAACCGTCACAGGGATTTTATAGACAAGTGTCGTTGAACCGCAATTTGATCGGATTTGCTACTCACCTCAAACCTCAAATGGCTTCGAATTTGCTCCATTCGGAAGCAAAAATAAAAATTATCAATTTTCTGCCAGTGGTCCGTTTTGCCCTACCCTCCCCTAATTGAAAATTGAAGAATATGATTATCGGAATTTCTCGGATTTCTGTTAATTTTCAGGGAATAATGGAACTAAAATCTACAGTTCTGATTGATTTTTCCCCAAAATTTAGAATTTTTAATGACGAAATTCCTTGAAATTTCAGTGGAAATTAAATGTGATAAAAATTTGCGAAAAGTATACTGAAAATTTCAGCTAAAAATTTTTAACAGTGTAGAAATTACTGGGCTAGTACTCGAAAATTGTAGGTTATCTGTATAAATGGAAATTGGCGGTCAACATTTATTCGGTCATTTCATGTTTATGGCTAATCATAATTTTTGTTCAGACCATATGGTCAGATTTATCTGAGGTATTGCAATCCACGCCAAAGTTATTCGTTCTTCTTCAAACGTTCGATAAGAAATTAGATAAATCGATATGCTCGACAATTACGCAAAATCTTAACAAATTTTTCTCGCACATCAAACAAAAATCTTTACTCAAGTTTCTCCAATGAAATTAATTCCAATAATAACATGTTTACTATTTTTCCATAATACATTGGTTCGTCGACACACAATCAACATACTCTACCTCTCCCCACTAATTATTCTCCGTAACACCTATTATTACAATCATTACCTCATAACTCTTGCTCAGAAGTCACTGTTACAAGTTCAGTAAGTGTTGGCCTACTCGTTACTACCTCGGAAATCCCCAGCTTCATTTGAATATAAATCTCTTCAGTCCTCAATCGGAATATCAACCGATGTTCAATCGTCTAGTGATGAGTGAACTTGTAACAATTAACATAAACGTTTTCCATGAATTCCGTAATAGATAAATAATAGAATTGATAGAATGAGCGAAAAAAAGAATGAATAATTAAACTGATGTCATCCAGGCCAGGTGTGTAATTTTTACACACTGATAGAAAAATTTATTCATAGTTAATAAATCGATTCATTTGAGCATTTCAAGGTCAATTGGTCAACCCTAGATTCGTCACCATGTCGCGTGCTAAGTGGAAAAAGGTCGTATAAACCTAATCTACGGAATATGAAGTTTGGACGATTTGGGCTCTGCAAAATTATTTTGACCCAACTTTTGAGGACAATTTTTATTTTCGCGCATGCGACTTGATTCCACAACTATTTCTCCAATAATGGAAAAATAAAAAAAAATCTTTTTACTGTTTTCTGTTTATCTTTCTGATATTCGGTTGTACTTTCAATGAAATAAACATTATTCTAGAGAAATTGTTATTACAGAAAAATTTCTGGAAAAAGGTCGTATGGGTAAAAAAAAATTGGCCTCAAATTTGGATTAAAATAATTCTAAAGAGGCCACACGGAGAAAAAAAATTCAGAAAAATTACTGTGCCAGCACGGTAAAATGGGTTTGTTTGGACGAAAATGGAAAAATGACCGTGCCTGCACCGGGAAATTGTCTGTGGAGTACAAGAATTTTTCACGGTAAATCCGAGAAAAATTCCTGTAGCGCATGGCATAAATTCCAGTGCTAGCACGGGAATTTTTCCGGATCCGTCCAAATGAACCTTTTAACTGTGCCACCACAGTAATTTTTCCGGAATTTTTTTCTCCGTGCAAATCGTTCAGATTTAATGTTCCCTAAATCAGGTTTACGCAACCTTTTTCCACTTCGATGACTTAAAAATCCTAAAATGGTCAATACGACCTTTTTCTATTTAGCACGCGATATGAGGGAAACACCGCACCGTCGGCTAATTAGAAAAATTGAAAAAAATTTGACTTTTTCAATTGAAGTGTCTAAAAAATTACAGTTGTTTTTAGAACAACATAGAGGAAACCCGAACTTCATAAAGACAACAAATGATTTCCAACAGATGAATCATTTTTTCCCATATTAATCTTCCAATTTTTTTTATTGAGAAGAAAAAAAATGAACTATGAAAACTTATATATCAATAAGATGAGTTTAATGGTGCAATGGAAAAAGTGGCCAGTCAATTTACGGACATTTTAACACGTCACTGACCGCGAGCTGATTACTGACCATTTTCGGTCAGAAAAACTGACACAATCTCTTGTCACAAAAATGACAATACCGGACTATCTTTACCACTTCACGCGTCTGTGGAGCAAACGAACAATAAATAA